GCAAGCACTCAGACAGGCATGCAACCAGCAGGCACGCACACACACAGACTTGGAACCACAGCAGAATGTGGGAATCACAACAAGGCATCCATTCTAGTGACAAATTCCAGAAATCGGCAGTGTTCTCAGTCTGTGTTTTTGGCGGGTCATTACATTACTCCCCTCTCGGGAGCGAGGTCCCTTCGAGTGAGTAGCTCAGTCAGAGTTGGTACAAAAGGCGTCATAGGCATAGATCAAAAGGAGAGTGTTAGTGAGACCGAACGGAGTGAGTTTTGAACAAACTTGGCGGTCTGTCCATCAACAATCTGTCGTTCATATGCGTTCACAACACGTGGCGCACTCTTCAGCAGTTCTTTCCGGTCGATCCAGAAAAATTCATTCAACGGGTGATAGAGGAAGTGAACTTTATATTGTATGTTCCTCCCTCTCCCTTCGTGAGAAACGATTCTGTCGATCTCATGGCCACCATCGATAGGGCGAGGTATCATAGGGTCTCGGAAGGGAAAAGTCTCATCATCAATGTGCGGAAACAGTTTGGAGGCATGGAAGACTGGGTACGTGCGTAGATGAGGCGGCACGTCAATCACATACGAAGGACCGAAATCATCCCCAATCACTTTCAGAATCTGCCAAACGCCGTAGTATAGTGGAATAAGCTTCTGTGAAACACCCTCTTCATCAGAAAATTCAGACATTTTGACCCAGACATAATCTCCTACTTTGAATTTCTCTTCTCTCCGCATCTTATTAGCATGTTTGATCATGGCATGCTGGCGCTTGTTCATGGCGGCGGTCACAGCTTTGAGCAAGCGTGCGTACTTGGCATTGTAGCCAGGCATGCCGGGCGTCAGACTAGGTGACCGTTCTGGGAACAGGTAGGAGAGGGGATTGCGCATTGGCCATCCATACTGCAACTGGTTTGGTGTCACACCGGTTGCAGAATGGATGGAGTTGTTGTACAGCCCCTTTACTTTATGCAAGTCCTTATCCCATGTGTTCTGATCTGGCACAATCAATGCGCGCAGCAGCTGGGTGACGGTCTGGTTGATTTCCTCAGCCAATCCATTGGCTTCGGGGTGTCGACCAGAAGTCATGTTCAGTTTGATGTCATAGATCTGGGCAGTGAAGTCCTTCCAATCCTTGCTGATAAATCTGGTGTCCCGATCACTCACAAGAGTTTTCGGGGGCCCATACTGCAGAATGTACTGCTGGTGAAACTCTACGATCACCAGTTCAGCCGGTGCATGAGGAGGTAGAGGAATCAAATTCAGAAATTTAGAGAAGTGATCCACAATGACCATGACTTGTGAATTCCCTGCCATACTCACCTTCCCCATGTCCGTCAAATCGATAGAGACCGATTCCCCGGGGCCATCAGGGATTGGGAGAGGTCTCAGCAGGCCATAAGGCTTATGCCTGTGGACCTTGGTTCTCTGACAGACTTGACACTCGGCAATAAATTTCTGAGCAGATCCCTTCATTCCTGGCCAATCAAACTGCTGGAGAAGACTTCCATAAGTCTTCTCAAAGCCGAAATGCCCACTCCGACCATGTGCCAAATCCAGGAAATGAGTCCGGAGAGGCGCATGGTTAGGAACACAAAAGCGATCAAATTTCCCGTACCGGCGGAATACAAGACCATCGCATTCATGAAAATCAGGCTGGCTGTTGGGGTCAACCTTGAGTTGCTCAAGGATGGGACTAAGGTCCGGATCCTTGGCGGTGTGTTCAATCAGATCCTCCTTCAGTTTCCTGCGGAGGTCGTACGAATCCACCAGGCAAGATGGCGCGATAGAGCATCAGCAACACGATTATAGCAGCCTTTCTTATGCTTCAATTCAAAGTCGAAGACATCAATATCATGCAACCAGCGGGTCAGCGTTGGAGAAAGATCGTTTTGTGTCTTAATCCACTGCAAGGTCTGATGATCTGAGTAGACCTTGAAGTGGCGACCCAAGAGATAGTGCTTCCAATGCGTGAGCGCCTCGCGCAAGGCGTAGAGCTCCCGCATGTATGTGGAAGTGGCTACCTTGTGGCTGGGCATGCGTTTGCTGTAATATTCAAGCGGACGCAGGCAATCACCATCGTCTTGTTGCAGCACTGCACCAATCCCAAACTGGCTCGCGTCCGTAGTGACTACGAACGTGAGGTTGGGATACGCAATGCGGAGCACAGGATGACTCACCAAAGCCTCTTTCAAGGCTTGGAACGCAGTCTCACACTTTTCACACCACGCGTAGGCAACATTATTACTAGTCAGGCGTAAGAGTGGATGAGCAATGACAGAGAATTTAGGCACAAACTTCCGGTAGTAAGAAGCCAAACCGAGAAAAGAACGAAGCTCGCGTACATTTGACGGTTGAGGCCAGTTGCGGATGACCTCAACCTTGGTTGCCTCCGGCTCAAGGCCGCTCACAGACAACCGGTGCCCAAGATAGATGACGCTGTCCCTGCCAAACTCAGATTTCTCCAAGTTGAGGTGCAGTTGAGCATCTTTGAGGACTTGCAAGACCTCCTCAAGATGCTTGACGTGCTCCTCCATGGACTTGCTGAAAATCAGAATGTCATCAAGATACACAACCACAAACCTGTTAAGTTGGTGGCGGAGTACCTTGTCCATGAGGGACTGAAATGTGGCTGGTGCGTTCGTAAGGCCGAAGGGCATAACGATAAATTCGTACAGCCCATCGCGTGTCTTGAACGCGGTTTTGTGCTGGTCAGTCGGATCGACTTCAATCTGGTGGTAGCCAGACTTGAGGTCAATCTTGGAGAAGACCTTGCAACCACCGGACGCATCCAACAGATCATCTATGCGAGGCAAAGGGTACGCATTCTTTCTAGTGATCCGGTTCAAGCCACGATAGTCAATGCACATTCGGAGCTTGCCTCCTTTCTTCGGTACAAATAGGACAGGGGCACCAAACTCAGACTCACTAGGCCTAATCCATCCACGGTCAATCATGTCATCGATCTGTCTCCGCAGCTCCTCCAACTCGCCTTGTCCCATAAGATAGACGCAACCCTGTGGAGGAACACTCCCTTCTATTATCTCAATTTTGTGCTTGACTGGACGCTCGGGAACTCCGCGCGGTTCAGCGAACACTTTCGGGAATCGATCTAATAGGAGGCGAATGTTTGCTGGGATTTCAGATGGAGGATCATCCTCATCAGGCGAGAGAAAACCAGATTGGGAATTTACAGCAATCACAACCGATTTTGAGGCATTCGGATCAAAATTAGATTGATTATTTACAACGGAAGTAGGTGGAATAGAAGTAGAAGTAGTAGAGTTACCTTCAGAAGAAAAAAATGCAGCAAAAGTAGGAGGCACATGGAAAGGTTTTACAAGAGCTATATGTACAAACTCAGCCTCTTTGCGCCTGCGCACTGACCTGCAGAATTTGTTTGCACTTAGAAGAGTCACAGGGGACTCGCGCGTCTCGTCTAATAAGACGGTACGCTCGTTCCCCTCGGCATCGAGAACCACGAACTGATTRTCCGCCCACGTGGTCCTTAGGCAATGAGCCTTTAGCCAGCCCAAGCCAATGACCGCGTCGAACGGACACTTGTCCAAGWCATAAAAATTTAGCTCATGTGTGACAGTGCGATCTTTGTCAAAGGTGATGCGCACACCTTTGACAGCATGAGTAGAAGTGACAACCTCTTGGTTGCCCACCTGAGTTTGGCAAGGGTTCTGCAGTTCCACTTTCTTCATACCCAGGCCCGCCTTACGAATCCCGTTCGGAGAGAAGAAATTAGTGGTGGAGCCACTGTCAATCAACACACGGATGTATCGACAGTTAATGAGTAGTTTAAAGAAGGTTAGCTCCACGCTCCCCTGAACACGGCGTTGCTGCTTGAGCTGCAGCCAATGCTCCATGTGGGCGTGGAGGTCAACTTCTCTAGACTCCTCCCAAGGCTCAGTGTATAATACTTGGACTGCACCAGCCTTGGAATCAGCATCAGTTCGGGCTTCAAGAGCAAGCTGCTGATCAGATTCAGGTTCCTCGGAAGGGCCTGCAACTGACTGCTCAGCTTCCTTTGTTGTAGAGAGTGCTGATGATTCCTCTACGCCCCTTGCCTGTTTCCCTGAAGACGATAGCAATCCTGCACAGCATGCCCAGGCTTTGAACAATGCAAGCATACGCGCAGTTTGAATCTTCTTTCCCATTCTTTTTGGCTGATGCGGAGGGCTTCCCAAGGTTTGGTGGAAGCGTCCTCCGATTTCTCAGGGATCTTAGCATTCTTGGGAAGGTGTATAACTGTTCCCTTACCCGAACCACGGTTAGGCCCCTTATTTGAAGCAGTTTTTCTGAATGCATTAAGTTTTTCATCGTCATTACTATCACACTCAATGGCTGATGCAGAACAGCCCGTATTGGAGTCCGGCTCTAGATCGTCATTTAGAGACAGATCATCCGCATGGGACTGATCTTCAGCCTCACGATGGTCATGCAGTGCAAGCTGGTTGCTGCTTCCAAACCGCTTGCGTTATGGTTTTCCACCTGCAGCGGGCGCCTTCTTGCGCCTGGCGAGGTCCTTGGCCTCTAGGTTGACTAGATCCTTCATGAGCTCTCGCCAGGTAGCATGGTCTTTGAGTGCTAGCAGGGAGAGGTATTCTTTAGGGGCCACTCCCATGACTACATCCATGCAAGACACGTCAGTCATCCCCAGATCCGGAGTGGCGAATAGACCAGTCAAGTGCTGTTCTAAAGCTTGCATGGATGACCTCCATGTTTGGCCTTTGAGGGCCTCAAGCTTCAGCCTAGCCTTGAGCGCAGCGTGTTTATCCTGATACCGGTCAAGGAGAAGATCTTCAAGAGCGCGGACAGGGGTAACCTTCAGCCATTCAGTCAGGTCTATGCGCTCATAGCCTGCAGCAACAGCTTGGAGCTCAATGTGGTTGCGTACGGCGGGCTCGGTATTAGTCCCCATCATCATACTTCGGTCCTCTTGCGGTGTCCGCATGACCTCGAAGTATGACCTCATGGAACTAATCCAAGAGGTGATGTCAGCCTTCCTGTCGTACTTGGACGGCAGCGTGGCCGCCCGCTTGTCCACCATGGGACCGCTGTACTGAACGCCAGTAAGAACTGCGGCGTTTTGGGCTGAAGTCCCCGCATTTGGGACTGTAACCAGTGCAGAACTGCCGGTGCTGCCGCTCGAGGAGCTGGCACCGGTTCCTGCACTTGCCACAGTTCCGCTGGCCCTTGGAACGAGGGTTGTGCTGGACTGAGAGACTGGGATTACAACAGATCGAGAGTTAGGAGGGCGGGGGGCAGACAGTTGGGACTGTTCAAGGCTATTTACTTTAGCCTGCAGCTCTTGGTTCCGCTGCTCAAGTGCTGTCACACGAGACTCGAGATCTTCCAAGTTCCGCAGCCGGACCAAGGCTGCGACGACAACAACTAGCCTCTCCTGGAACCGGTCAGCATTGGCTTCCGGAACCTGTAGGAGGGCCTCCTGCGCAGCTATACTCGTAGCTCTAGCTGCTGCCTCCGCCTCCCGTTCCTTCTGTACGGCATCATCATACAGTTTTTGAAAGAACGGTTTCTGACTCTCGTCTGCTGCGTCCAGCATGGCCTGCCATTGGTCAGATGTGATGACCGCCATGCTGGAGGAAGGAATGTCAGTAGTGCTCTCAAGAGGGGTCTGCTCTCTCCTTACGTTTGGACGAATACTCCTCTTGCCCCTCCTCACACTCTCAAACAGCACACCCTCACTCTCCCTTTCCTCTCTTTTCGCTGTCTGCGCACGCGTCTCAACACCGGACATAGATAGTTCAGGCCAAAGAAACAAACAGAAAACCACTCAGAGAAGAAGGTAGAACTCCTAGCCGGAGTGGCGAATCATTTGGACTGAGAACTTGGCACGCAGCAGAAGAAAATAAAATAAATAAATAAATAAATAAATAAATAAATAAATATAAAAAAAAAACAGAGAGGTCTAATTTATAGAACGGGCCCGATCAGATCAGCTGGAGATCCCCTCTTGTCTAACCTGACAGAGGACGTGTCATCACAATAAATCAGACGAAGAAGACTAACTGCAGCAATGGAGATTTCGAGGGGTGCAGATGGTCGCCSAGTCAGACGCGGGGCAGTATGTGATCACACGCGGTAAGACCAGTTAAGATCCCCTTGAAAGGAATGCCCTTGCTGTCCGTGTGTCCCCCAGATTCAGCACAGCAAAGTAATGCACTGACGGCAGCAGATCTGGGCCCGAAGGTCCTGTCCCGTTGGGCCTGGTCCCACTAGGTCCCAAGTGATCCCGAGTAGGCCGTGGACCAGGTCTAACGAGACAGGGGTACCAAGTCAGACCCAAACTGTCTCTACCGTACTGAAAAGGAAAAGACAACTTCCAGCAAGAACTTACCCCTACTACCGTTCAGAAGTGAAAAGACAATGCACTGTAGAAAGATAAGTCATTTAGAGCAAGATACATCATCCATTCATCCATCAGGTGAGAAAGCAATCCACATGCTCAACACACACAACCAAGACTGCAGAGAAGGGGGAGAGATCCCAGCACACCCCCAACAGGTCATGCAGCACCAAGCAACCTCCCACGGGCTTACCCAGGTCACACAGCACTTACCTGTGAGGCCCGACCTCCAAAGATGGATAACGAGTCACTCCCCTCTCATATAAGTCCTCCTGACCCCTAGCTACCACTACACGAAGTGTCCTAGCATGACTAAGAGGGCCTTCCTACACCCCTGTTGCAAAGCCGGATCCCCCGTCGATGCCTGAAGACCAAAGTAGCAACTTGCAGCAATCCCATGCAGATATGGCAGCCTCCGATCAAGTCTCTCTCTTGAGGGGAAGCCCAAAAGTCACTTAATGTCTTCCTGAAGTCCAGAATCCAGGTGCGAGTACCTCTCACTCTCTACTCCCTCTCGCTTACTCCAATCAGCCTCCTTTGTGTCTCGCCACCCCATACATTCACTCAAGCAACCTGGTTGGGTCCAATGTCGACCCTACATGACCTAACCAGGTGGGGGCAGCATCCCCATACCTCGCTGCCCCACTTAACCCTAACTTCCAACCCTAATCCGAGATTAGGTTAGCCCTAACCTAATTCGGAATTAGGGTTAGGGTGACTAACACCTCTCGCCAGCAAGTAAGTCCGCTCTGATACCAATTGTTACGATCCTGGTCATTTCCCAAGTGCAAATTCACAATGAAAGACAATATCACCCACTTGCGAAAGAAATGAAAGCACTTGCAAAGAGATAAAGACCAGAGGAGAGGTAAGGAAGAAGAAGAAGAAGAAGAAGAAGAAGAAGAAGAAGAAGA